ACTTAAGTAGTATAATAAAGTTGGCTAAGTTGGTGGCCTCATCACTAAGCATCGACACTACAGAGCTCTATTGTCACAGTGAGGGAGCGCAGCTGCCTCGCGAAGAAAACCGCTGACAACATGCAGTTATAGTTACTCTATCTTTCAATAATCCTACAACTATACTGATTACCTGTTTTATATCCTCCCCCAGATTTTCCTGATTACCCTTAAGTGCTTTTTTGTGAGATCTATTTGATATTCACTATTGCTTGTACAAAAAATTCCTTCAGAAGTGAACATGATAAAGTGCCAATCCACACCTAAAAATAAATTCGATAATTAGTATAGCCAGCATGATAATCATGACTTCGAGTTGTCCCATGAATCTGTTCCACATACCCATTGATACAATCCCATATAGATAGTCATAATCCTCGACCTTAAATGCTTCATCTGCAGTTTGCTTCTTCTTGTTTATATGGAAGGAACTCTCGAGTTGTTTTATATTTTGAAAGTAACCAATCTTAACATTTTGTGGTTTTCCTCAGTGATACACAAAAGATCTTCCATCCCTGTTATGGCATAGTCAACCCTACTGGATGCTTCTTCACCTGAAATATCTCTCTGCAATTCTATATGAATTCTTTATCTGTTATCCTCTGTGCGATAGCGATTGATGTGTGTAATATTGATGAAACAAATTCACATCGGGTCACCTCATTGACCTCTATCATTGATTTTACATTCATTAACCATAATATTATTTCATTCATGCATTGTTTGAGGGCTTTGTCATCATCATCAATTTTCTCAGGTACTATAACGAAAAAATGTTAGCCTATTATATAAGCAGTTGTTATTTCTTTTCTTCAGCAGTGGATTTGCAAAAATGCAGTGAAGAGAGAAAAGAATTTATTCCTTCAATGTCTGAATATTGCCAGACTTTTGCATCTCAGTCCCTGATGGGTTTTGGTCATTGCCAATCAGAGATTTGACAACACTGATCCAAATATCTGGTTCTACTTTCTGAAATAATGTTTTCTTAATTTCATCCATTCATGACTCAATAACCTTCCAAAACTCTTCTTGTGTTGATTTTGTATTGAAACCAAGACTTGTGACTGCCTCAGATTGCTGCAAATGCTCAATGCATGCCACAAGATATGCCAAGTGTGTACCACAGATGCTAACACTATTTGCATCTTTAGATTTACCAAGAAGTTTGTTTGCAATGTAAGATCTTGCAGGGTGGCTACTAGAGTTCTCCTCACGAAGACAGCAGTAAACAGCTTTCACACTTTCAGCTGTCTTATGTAGAAGCTTCATCTTTCCAGTACCACTTGCCTGAACCAAAGTCGTATATGGTGCACAAAATTCTGAGTCTACTTGGTACTGCTTTGCACAGGAATTGATGAATTTGATAAAGCATTCTTCAAGTTTATCTGGATCTCAGAAAGGTAGATCAAATGCCTGTTCTACCACCCTTTTCTCCACTGTTTCCCATTTAATCTCTATCATATCCAATAAACGCCCTGAGGAACCTTTAAATATGCAAAAAGGATCCAGCTTTGTCCCAACTGCCTATTGTAATATCCAACCATACATGTGATATAATAGCATTTACTATACTCTGTTCTATACTCTTTCCAACGCGCGTGTTGTAATGCATTCCAACTATTCTTCCTCTGTTGACCCATGGCTACTCTATGACCCCCCGTTGCTCCTATATTCCTCCAGTCACAATAAACGTGCATTGCTTACCTTGCATGGTCAACCCCATCTCCGTGGCAACAGTTTGCACGGCGTTTGGCTGTGCGAAGTACATCCGTATGTTTTCGACTATGCCGTTACGCACATGCTCACCACTCTTGTCGTATTTGCTCCGAAATAGGGTTGCATTCGTGGTGTCGTCAGCAAGAGCGTGGCTGACCCAGCGCTCGAAGTATGCGTCTCGCTCTGCTGATGGTTTTCCACATAGAGGATAGCATTTGTTAGCTCTTCGGCTGGTGCACTCAAAGTTTGTCTGCTTGAGAAAGCCATGGTTGGGGAAAGTACGTGTTATCGCGTTCGGTGCTAATACTAAAAGCAAATATCAAGTCACGGGAAGTTTTTGACGTAACACATGACTTTTAACAAATCGAACCTATCTTTTATGAGCGCATGAGTTACTATAAAAGCAGCAAGACCGTCAGAATCTCTCTTCATTCATACCTAGCAATCATCAATTTAATTTGATCGCAAAATCAATCGTAAAAGCTACCTGATCGCTTTTGACTTAAACAATTTGAAAATGCCCACTTTCACCAGCGAATTTTATTGTGGATTACTGATCGGAGTTCTCCTTGGCTTCATGCTTTATAGTACACTCCATCAAAATAAACTTCACGACATAAATCAAAAAATTGATAAAATTATCAATTTAATCGAGTCTCAAAAAAAGCATAATAACAAACCAAGTAAATCATTTGGCGAACGAAGTTACTTACCAGATATCGGAAACCGTGGAACTTTAAAACCTTGTTTGACAAAAAGGCTGGGCTGAATCCAAAATTTTCATTTAATCAAATGGCGTTTGAGATTTATAAGTTGCTCAAAAGGCCATCGCTGCATCAACAATAAGAAATTTTTATCTTCGACGAACAACCCACGGAAAAAGACTATTGAAGCAATTCAACGTTGGATTGACGAAGAAAAGAAGGAAATCGGATGGGGAAAGATATAGATAATAATGATAATATTATTGGTGATCATCTTAAGAACGTTTGATCAATCTCAAAAATTCGAGATATCTCGAGGTGGTCGAGCGAATGTTAATGTAACTGATATTTTCGGCCCTGCTGGTTTATTTATTAACTCAGTTTTTTAGATGCCCATCGTGTGATATACTGTACGTTTAGCTCACAATTTAACATTGCTTTTTAAAAGCGTACTCAATCTCTACGCTTCGCCATCAGAGAGATTCCAAGATGGACTAATGGGTAAAGATCTCTGCTATGTTAGCACATTGTTAAGTCCAGCTCCGACCACACGATTAGAAAATAGGATTGGTGCATCACTTCGCAGTTTGAGAAATGTGGGAATAAAAATTCACACCAAGTATCAATAGTTTTCGAAGAATGCAATTTATTAATTCTCTAAAAACGGTCGACTAAATGCAAGAGTAATTAGTTTTTCATACTTAAATATATACAAGCGACCCATATTAAGCTCTCTTTTTTTTTCTCTGCCTTTTTCTCTGCAGCAGGAGTAATGTTTACAGATAGTTAGTGAGCAAAAGTTATCTTCGAGTCGAATTAGTGTCGCTGCGGATTGCTCGATGATTCTTTTTCTTTTCTTTTTTTAGAAATAGAAAGAAAAAGAGAGAAGAGGGATTACCCAAAACTGTCATCGTAAACAACGACAGAAATAAAATGAAATCTCATGACCAATGTGCCATGTAACAGTCTACATGGCGACTTACCGTCTGTTGACTTGGCATTCATTCTTTCCCCTCACCGTCAGGTTCTCTCTTCCCTTACCTCTCTTCTTATTCCCACTCCCCGTATTCCCCACTCTCTCCTGTCCCAACACCAATCCCAAACCTCTCTCTACGTCTTTTCAACCTTTCCTTGACATCTTCTCTCTCTTTTTCTATTTCCACTTTCATCTTTCGCGCACATCTCACAGAACACAAATCATATCTCAGTGGCACATTGGGAACTAAGCAAATCCACTTTAACAGCCTCATCGTAGCGACTGGCTCCAAATGAACACTATCACACGCTGCGCATATTGGATGCCATTCATTGATCAATCTCTCTTTCAACACACTCGGAAGACTGCCTATTACATTCGGTAACTCCCCATTCTTGCTGTTTATAAATCGATAATCTTTATTTACCAAATACCGGAATACGAGATCACTCAACGACGGTACCCCGGATGAAACATACACCAGATCAATTTGACTTGTCGCCAATGGATTATTGCATACATCTATCGTCTCTATTGCTGATAACTTTGTTGCAAGTTGACAAGGAAGTTCAGTTATCTGGTTATTTGATAGATCTAACGAACGTAAGCTGTGTAGATATCCAATCTGAGGCGGAATGGAAGAAAGCTGGTTATGGGAAAGATTCAGATGGGTCAGGTGGATGAGTGGTGATAGGCGAAGTGGTGGGTGAAGAAACAAGTCGGGTAATGTTGACAAGTTCTGGTGAGTTAGCGATAATCGCAACCAGGTGGAAGGTAAATGAATAATAGCTGTAGTACTAGCAGAACGGGTAGTAGGAATAGTAGTAGTAGCAATAGCAGTGGTAGTGGTAGTGGCAGTCGAAGGCGGAAATAAAAAGGAAGGGGTGGATGAAGTAGATAAAGGTTTAGGGGAAGAAGATAATGAAGAAGCTGAAGGTATGGAAGGAAATCTAGAAGAGTATATGGTTAATGGCGAATACTTCTCCTCATGTTGTCTTGATGCGATTGACTGATTATTGCTGTGCTCGAGCCATGTGAGAAGCTTCGGCGAATTATCGCACTTCCACACTATAACGGACACGTTCGGCGAGGACATGATGGGTGAATTCGATGGCTCTTGCGTAGACCTTAGATACGAACTCTTGCTATCAGTCGTCTTCCAACCACGGTAGTCAAAAATTTTCTCTTCATCTTTTCCAAAGCTCTTCTCTTTCTTCTTTGCTTCATGCTTCTTCTTCTCAGACTTCTCGTTACTATGGACAATATCCTGTGTTTCTGTCTCAGCAATACACCGAGTTTCACTAAGTCTGTCGCGACTATGGTCACTCAGTTTTTGCTGAAGTTTCTTCATATTGAAATTATTTCTATTCTTCTTTGCATACACACAACTTCTTTTAAATAAATCTTCTTGGTTCCTTGCCTCAGTTGGTAGCTCCAGCGTTGGTATTTGCGTCGATGCGTGTATGTCTCGACGGTTCGGCATCAGGGTCAGGGTAGCCACGGGGACTTCTGTTTCGAGCATTTCTCCTTCTTGAGCAACGTCTTCTTGTTCTTGCGTCTGTTTGGGGTGAGCTAAGGTGTATAATAATGTTAGAGTATGTGGAGAGAATAAGAATGAGATGATAAAAAACGAAAAACGGTAAGGGTAATAGTGTGAATAATCATGTGAATTGCGTCACTCAACATTTTGGGGATTCAATTGTCTATGCAAAGTGGGTATTACAGAATCTAAAGTTAGTACATAAGACATGCAAACAATGTGAAAAATGCCTGTGTTCTTCTATTGTGATAGTTTAAGTGAAATTTGATTGATGAGAGACTGGAACATCGGCACTATGGAGAAAAGAATGTCAGGGTCTTTAATGAAAAAGACATTCTTTCCGATTGCAGTATATCATGTGTATCGAGTTTATCCACAAATAGTAAGATCCATGTGTGACATAATGTATCGATTCACATCCGCGATAATCAGAAAGGTGTTCTATAATTGAGTTCAAGATGAGTGAGCATCAACTTGTGAGTTATTGAACCCCTACTCCCAATGACACAACGTTATTGTATTAACTCGAATGTCAAACCCTAATATTCTGTGCCTAAATAAAGACCTCGAAACCTCAAACCCTAATATTCGTTTTACAGTCGACCCTCCATAAAAGAACACAGTTGGGACAGCCAAATTATGTTCTATCATAGAAACTACTCAAGATTATATAACAAACCATTTATAATATTTATTAAACCAATCAAACATTGGATGAGAGTTATTAAGCTGCGAGAAATTATATGTAAGAATACTACGTACTAACTGTGATTTTCGCGGAGTAGAACGTGACCTAATTCTTGCAATTACATTGGTCAAATTTGATACGTCAACCAATGAAATTGCTCCCCAAAACTTATATATAAAAATTTACCAGCCAATCAACATGCGTTCTACAAAATTATGTTCTAATAAATTAAATCCGTCCCATGAAAAAATGTTCTATGAGAGGTGCTTTTATTGAGGGTTGACTGTACTTTAAAACGCGTTTATTATTTCTAATTTAAAATGAATATTATGACAACATATGTTAATGTTATCCATGATACACCGCGGTAAAACGTTTTCCAGTTCGACCATAATGCAATTATCAATGACTGGTGCCTGCTCCACAGGTTGGCAAGGTAGGATGATTATGTTTGCGAGTTTGTACCTTTGCTTCTGGTTGTCTCGTTACAATTTTTAAATTGATCGATTTACCAAATTTGCCAAGCGTAAACGCGATTTTCTGTAGCTATCTTTTCCCGCATATACATTAAATTGCACACAATATTCTCTGATGTATTATCTATCAGAAATATATATATTTATATACTTTGTCGAGCCGACTACACGGAGAGCGTTCAGTAATTGGCCTTGGGATTTAGTTATTTCAAATCACTAATACAGTTAGTGGCCTTATTTCTGGTTTTAACTATACTCACGGTTCTCTAAATAACTGATCGGCATAATACACTACCCTACCATAAATCACCGGATTTTTTGTCACGTGTTTGAAATAGATATGAAATTTTTGTATTTTCTA